AAAGTGTTTGCTGGTGTTTTCCTCAGTGGATTCCACATAAATATGTAGATCAGTATCTCTCAAATGTTAATTTCTTCTACTACCCACCAGAGAGCTAACTCAAGAATGCAGATTCTTATGTTGTCTGGGTGAGATGGAAAGTTCTAGATTCCTGATACCCAACAGATGAAGCTTGTTGCTCTTCTGCAAACTATACAGAAATAGGAGGAAGAACCTTTTCTGCACTTGAACAAAGAAGTCAAATGTGTTTGCTGGCATCTCAAGGCTTCCTGTTGCACAAAACATAGAAGTCTTTGTGCTTGTAGCATTTTGTTTTACCAGTTGAATTGTAAAATTTCTAAGATGGGGTTTACTGTACTTTTGAAAAGAATTGAAGGCAACCAAACAAGTTGGGATTTGTTTTTTCTAATCTCTAAAAAAATTTCCCATCTATCAAGATAAAGAACACACTGTGAAGTACCTGTACTTTCAGTCACATAAATGCTTCACGGAAACATTACTGATGAGTATTTATTCATGGACATCTCTAAGTGCTAGAATAAATATTAGTTCTGAGAGATCATATGATACATCATAATATTACCTGATTATGGGGTCACAGCCTGTGCTCCAACAAGAAGGGTTGGCCACACATCCTTGATTTACCACTGTACCAGTTACATCCAACTAAGCAAGTAAAGGCATGAAAGGAATGTCTCTCAGGTCACGGATACCTGGACTCTATTCTATCTGTCCTGAGGATAATGTTCTAACACCTTAAAAATATTGTCCTGGTTCCTTTATCAGAGCTAATCTTGTGCAGAATGTTAGTAGTCATTCAAGAGGCTTTACAAAATTATAACTATCAAGAATGACCACTTTTGTGGAATATGAATAGACAATAATTATAAAGCTTAACAAAAACTACTCATTTAATAATTATGGGTAGGTTCTGCTTGGGCTTTCCAATATTTGGCCTGCATAATGTTCTTTTCTGAAGACCATACTCATAACACCATCAGGAATACTCAAACAAAATCTGGAGAAAGCTGGCATCAGTAACAATTCATTGTAATTAACCACATCATATAGAAAATCCCACCTTTTAAATCTGTCATTTAAGGGCAAACAAAATTCAAGATGGTAAAACCACCATGAATATGTGAATCTCAAATGTATTTTTAATTTTTGTTGAGTTAATGAAAATATGGGGCAGATCTGTGCAAATAGAATGGAAGATACTTGAGTTTTGCCTTTAAGAACAAAAACTACCAATATCTAGGTTACAGTTTGAATTCCCTTTATGGTGACTGGTCATTCCAGGTATTTATGTCTGTAAGGAGATGTTTCTGCTTCCTGTCTGTAATTTCAACACAATAAGGGCAAATCTATAATTTCCTCAAAACATGCTATTTATTTCTTCTCCATTCAAATATATTGGAGAAGGAGGGTATGGCTGTCAGGATGCTTTCCCCAAAAGTCCTTGTTTTCTGTGTCCTGTGGCATCTTGCTGTTTTTTTTTGTTTTGTTTTGTTTGTTTTGTTTTGTTTTGTTTTTTTAACTGTATCCTCCCCTACACAACACTATGTGACTTGTAGCCAACTCCTTTGGTGAAGAAAAAATGAACAATTATCCAACTATGAATGGCTAAAGACACTATAGTTGAAGCCTGTCTTTCTCATAGCACCCTATGGTATTTCAGGTTGTGCTATCATAGTAAAGCTTCACTGCATATTTAACACATTGCATATGGTAACTTCCCCTTAATATTTTTAATTACTGTTCTTATTAAATTATATCATCCAATATTCCGTTGCATGGGCCACAAATGTTAGTTTTGTCTTATGTAAATTTCAATGTCTCTATGAAATGCAGCCTTGTATTGTTTATTTCCACATTTCTTTAGACACCGTTTTCCCTCAAAGTAGTGTACAACTGGACCTCCACCAATGCTCAATTTATAACAAAAACGTAATAGGCAAACCTGAATGTCATATGTTTGGCAACATTATCCTATGTTATCTAAGAAGCTAAGAGAATCCCATTTACCTTGGTGGAATCTACCTAAGGCATGGGGAATTTTTAGAAATATTCTGTATTATCTATACTTTTTATTTTTCCTTGTGTCAGGTTCCATTTTGAAATACGTATTCTACCATTAAGAACACTGGCAGGGCTATTTATTCCCCATCAGGAGCTGTTTGAACAGCTGCAAATTATCCTGTGTATGTCGACAGTTTCCAAAAGACAGTGTTAATAAATGTCCATAGCCCTAGAAACTATTCATGTTGAAGTGAATTTATTTACTATTTTTCTATAAGAAGAGCCTCAATTGAAACACAAATGCCCTCAAAGAAGTAAATTTATCTCTATGTACGAGTTTGTTCTTTCACATTTTATGGAAACCTAAAAAACATAAAAGTTTTGAATCCCTAGTATATTTTTCTGCCTGTTTGATTTTAAGGATACACGTTTAGCATTTTAATTTATGTTATTTAAAAAAAGGCATGAACTTTCTCACTCACTGACTGTAACACCTAAACCATTATCCTTGCCATTTTCCATGGCCCCATTTTCTCTGTTCTGGAGCACTGGTGGCAATCAGGTGCTAGGCCTGAACTTGTGGAGATGGTGTCTAAAGAAATATAGAAATAAGCATTACAAGGCTACATTTCTTGTCCAGTGTTGAAGGAAAGAGACTCCATCTTTATAGGCCTACAGTTTAATGGAAGTGGGACAGCTGTTTAACAATACTTTTCTACCCCCAAATGGTAGAAGACATCTTAGTATCTCCTTTAGAATATAAATGACTGACTGTAAGAATCTTCATCTTCAAAAGAATAAAAAAAGTCTCTTGGGTAGAGAAATAAGAAAGTCCGTAAAAAAATGACAGTGTTCTTCTGTAGGAAGCATGCTATTCACTGAAAGCAAACAGATCACCAATATTGACTGTCTAGCCTTGGCCTGTGACAGAAGTTCTAGCATTCTTAGTTCAGAACATCCTAATCAGAGAGACACTTTACCGCTGACTTCTGTGCCTTATGTCTTCTGATCCTTCAATAGTTAGAGGCAGATACAGATCACAGATCTGAGAGCACAGACTTGTTAACACAGTCCTTGGAAGCTTAATTCCCATCTACTGAGCAGTGATGAGCCAGGACCCTGACCTTATAGTAAGCAGTACAGACTGCTATTTTATTCAGATCACCAGACAGAATAATCACAAGGGCAAGCCACAATGGCAGACAATTTGCAGGTGACAAAACCATGTTTTTTCTTCGAGGAATCTAAACATTTAACAATAGCCAGTTGTAATGAATAATCTAATGTAAATTCACTCTTATTCACTATACTTGGAAGGGGCATAAAGCATAATCCAAGAACAATTCCGTGTTTTTGAGTAAACTGACATCACGAGACTTTTGTCTTGGTTTCTTGGAATTTTCTCGAAAGCACTCAGAATTCTCACATGACTGTTCTTGGATCATGTTCTGACAGTAGGAGGGCATGGGCATGAAAGGTCAAAACTAGGCTGGGGCTTTTAAAAGTTAGGCTGTGACTGTCTTGCTTCTAATTTCTTGTCTGCCAAGGTGTTAACATACCTGTCAGTGTCACATTTGTGTTTATGCTTGTGTCTGTGGGGGTGGAGGGCAAACTTTCATTATATATGGCAGTTGCTGAATTTTGCAGTGAAGTTTCACACTTTTCCAGTGAGAAATCAGGTATATAAGTGAACAATTCAAAGCAGGATGTGGTTCCAAAGATCTTGAGAGACTCATTTTCATTATGATTTTTTGGCAGCAAAAACCCTTCCTCTCCACATGCTTATTTGGAGTTTTCTATTTTCTAAATGTCATTAAAGCACTGAATACCATTTGTGTAGGATACTAAATAAATAAATAAAAACAAACCCATGATATTTGCTTCTATTAAAAGAATAATACCACCCTCGGATTATTCTTTCCAAGAATTCAGATACACAATTTTATCAAAAGCTTAGGTTTTTTTTTTTAATTTAGAATTATGGTTGCAAATTTGAAGAAAATGGCTGTACTTCTACATTTACATGACTATAGTATCTGACAGAAACACACAATGGGAGGAAGATGTGTTTTGCTTTCATTTATTTTAGAGGGCTTCAGCTCACCACTATGGGGAATGAGTGTCAGAGTTCATCACAACAGAAGCCCGTGGTGGCAGGCAAAGGCATAGCCAAGAAAGTGTGTGACTATCGTCCCATTAGCCCTAGGCCAGATGAGGCAGCCAAAAGCCTGCCCCACTGAGTTCATCAGAGTTGAAGAAAACATGCAGAGGTCTTTTGAGAGTACTCCAGGATGAGACAGCTAGTTAATTACAACAAACAAAATCTTCTCTTGCTGTACTTGACCTTGCTAACAGTTTACTTTAGTGTCTTTAGTTGAGATCACCTGACACTTGCTTGGGAGGGATGCCAGTAGACTTTAAGAGCGCTTCACCGAGGTTATGTCTGTAATCCATAGTTCGTTAAAGATGGTGGGTCAAAACTTCATGTTGTTGTCCTTCCCATCCTCTGCCAAAAAGCTTCACTGTATATAAATAGTATAATCCTGACTCTCATCATAAAGTGTTTTTTACAGATTTGGAGACTTATTTGAGTGACATGTAAGTTACCTGAAGGAGTAAGGATAGGAAGAAAGTTCACAAAGTGTACAAGGGCCCAATGAAGCTGTGAAATTCCTGGGAGCTTTGTGACTGAGTAAGATTCAACTGATGCCCACAGATGTTTAAGGAAATCCTGCAACAGCCTGGACAAGCAAATGCTGCAGAATAAACAAGGATGTCTTGTGAAAACACAAACAGATACTCCTCAAAGACCCGAGGCTGTTAAAAACCCCAGTGATAGGAGTCTGTGACCTCCTTAGGAGTATGAGCTTTGGCCTCACTAGATGCCTCTAAAACAATATGGGAGCTACTGTTGTCAGTGTTCATTTATATGGTTTTCTATTTACAGCCTGCTACTTTTTCTTACTTGTGTTTTGTAGCAGAAAAAAAAATACCATCAAGTCTTGCCACCAGCCACAGTGAGGGAACAGGAAGGCAGAGGAGACTGTTGGAGCCGCCACAAGGACAAGGAAGATGTAAGGTACCAATAAGCCATTAGCCATGAGCAAAGTATAGATTAATAGAAATGGGCTAAATATAAGAGTAAGAGCTAGACAATGATAGGCCTGAGCTAATGACCAAGCAATTTAAATAATATAAGCATCTATATGTTTATTTTATTAGTGGGCTAAGGGACTGCTGGGGCTTGGCAGAACACAGAGAGAAAACTCCAGCTACACCACACTCTGGAGACAGAGTGTACTAGTTCTTGGTAGCACATTGAGCCTGAAGAAGAGGCCGACTTCTACATCACACACTCCAAGGCTCAGGAGACACCATGAAAAAGGCGGCATAAAAGATATAAGAGCCAGGGCCAGGGAAACAGGTAGGTGATCTTCAGACCTTCACCCTCCCCCTTTTCACCAAATCCAACACCTCCCACCAAGCCTCATCCCCATCTCTGTAGCAGACCACATATAGCTTCCTCTTTCTCTCTACCCCATCTCCAGTGATCATGAAGATCTCTTTTTTCAGCCTCCCTCACTACTCCATCCCTTTGTCTCAACTGCCAACTTCTGCAGGCATTCCCTGGAAACCTGCCAGCCATGCCTGCCAGGGAAACAGATCAGTGCCCTGCTCAGCCATCATCAGAGAAGCCTCCTCCCACAGCAGATGGGAACAAATACAGAGACCCACTGTAAGGATTATATCCTTATTACATCACCAGCCTGTGATGGTGTCCCAGCCTAAAAAGTGGGCTCTCTCTCCCTGTATTCCCCCTGTCTTCCATGTGGTCTCTGTCTCTGTCTATGTCTCTGTCTCTGTCTCTGTCTCTGTCTCTCTCTCTCTCTCTCTCTCTCTCTCTCTCTCCTCTCTCTTCTAATAAAGCTCTAAAAGGTAACTATGGCTCATGATTCTTCTGCCACCGCAACGTCCAATGCATGGGTACAGCCACAAGCACTGCTATTTAACCAACACCCACAGCCACACAGACCTGAGATCACTCAATCCTAAATGGGATGTCCCCTTCAAATCCCTTCCCTCAGGACACTATGCAGAAGGATGTAAGAAGCACAAGAGATGGAGGACACGTGGGCGCGCGCGCGCGCGCACACACACACACACACACACACACACACACACACACACACACAAGACCAATGCACCTGTAAACTTGCAGAGACAGAGGCAGTATACACAGTGCCTACACTGGTCTGTACCAGATGCAGTCTTCAACTTGAAAGAAGTAGACACCACCATCCCAACCCAGAAACTATCTCCAACTGATAACCACTTTTCTAATGAAGTTAGTTTTTTTTTCAAAGGAGTCTCACCAGAGAAACAAACCACATCTTAAGGTTAGGCCAAATGTCCCCTAGTAGACGGCCAACACAAAATGAGCTTAATCGCATTTTGGAGGTACTTTGTCTCATAATGTTGAGTCACAGCATTTTTTTTAACCTTACAGGTTCCATTGTAGCAGTTGGGGATGCCATCTTGACCAAAGCAACCATGTTAGAGGCTTGAAGCCAACCCTGACAGCAACCTGATTCTGTAAAGACAATCCCAGGAATTTAAGCCAGATAAACTATTCCATGGATGCAAAAGACCAAGAATGTTATCTCAGGCCTACAGGAATGCATATTTGCAGGAATGAAGTAATTGTGGCTTTTGCCTCTAACAACTCCTTCCCAGTTTCAGTCATAGCCATAGTCCTGAATCCAACCAAGGGGCTGTGGTCAGTTGAAACTTAAATAAAATTTTGCTGATTGAGTCTGGGTGGCCTTTAGTGATCTCAAATTCTGCAACACTTTGTGTATATATTATGGCTTCCAGTTTTGTGTTTTTTAGGGATACCTGTGTGTGCAAAAGTGTATGTATCTGTGTCCATATGAGTTTCTTTTGCTTTTGAGTGTGTGTGTGTGTGTATCTATTTCCTTCTGTTTGTTTGTTTTGTCCTATCTCAATTTTGTTTGCTTGTTTATCCTATCTCATTATTATTCCTTATATGCCTGTTTGTTTTCTAAGGAGAAATAGAAAGGAAGTAGATTCAGACCCAGACAGGGAGAGAAGTGGGAAAGACCTGGAAGAGTATGAAAAAAAAAAAACTATATTCAATTAAACAAAAAAACAAAATTAAACAAACAAAAAATGTATAAGATGACTGAAAAATAAGAATAAGAATGTAAGATCTAGATTAGGGACAGAGTGTTGTTCAATAATTCCTCCAGATAAAACATCCCATCATGGAGGAAAGCTTACTGTGATAAGAATGGACTAATCCCCGAAACTGTAAGCAAAACCTCAATTAAAAGTTTTCTTTTATAAGAGTTACCTTGGATATGGTGTCTTAACAGCAACAGAACAGTGGCTAAGACAGAAGTTGGTACCAGGAATGAGGTATTGCTGAGAGAGCCTGACCATGCTCTTGTTGATAGTATGTGGACTTTGGGACTGTGTATTACAAAAGCAGTTGAATGTTCTAAGCTGGGCTTACTGGGCCGATCTAGTAGGAACATGGAAGACAGTGGTGATGAGAGCAATGTAAATTATGACAGCCTGGCTCAAGAAGTTTCAAGATGTAGATGTAACCATCTTATTAAATAACAAACACAGAGCCAATGCAAAGATGAAAGCCCAAGAGGTCAGAGTGATAGCTAAGAGCTAAAAACCTTACCCTTCACTGCCGCTGCTATCCTCCTCAGCAAGAGACCTACTTCCTGTCTGCTTGTCTTTTTTATAGACTTTCTATCTGCTTTCTCATTGGTTACAAACCCAACCACATGACCTCCTCGTCACTGCCTGTCTGTATAGACCTTCAGGTCTTCTATGGTTGGTATTGAGATTAAAGGCGTGTGTCTCCATGCTGGCTGTATCCTTGAACACACAGAGATCCGCCTAGCTCTACCTCCCAAGATCTAGGATTAAAGGCTTGTGCCACCACTGCCTAACCTTTATGTTTAATATTGTGGCTGTTCTGTCTCTGACCCCAGATAAGTTTATTAGGGTGCACAATATTTTGGGGAACACAATACCACCACAGGGAAGAGTATTACCAGGTAGCTTAGAGACCATTCTTGTGATATTTTGGCAAATAATGTGTCTACATTTTGACTTTCTCCTAAAAATCTGCCTGAGGCTAAATTAAAGAATTTTGGATTAATGACATTGACCGAGGGGATTTCAAGAGATCCTAGTATTGGTTGTGTCTTGTTTTTAGTGATCACTCTTATGTAGATCTATAATGAGAATGAGCAATCTGATCAAAAGGAAATACACGTATAGTTTGAGGAGAAAGGGAGAACCAGAAAATATAATGTTGGAGCCAAGTCTAGTCAGTGCTCAAGGAAATAAAAAGTTTAAAGAAAAGCCTGATGTTAATGGAATAAAAAGAACTGGTGAGCTCAGAGCAATATCCCATACAGCTAAGTTTCCAAATTATAAAAAGATATTAAAGAAAACTTTGAGAAGTAAAGGAAATCTTCAACAACAGAAAGCTGATGCAGATATAGTTGACCAAGGGGATCAAGTTCCAGTGTCATCAAGTAGCAGGACTTGGCAGCTCCAGCCATCTGATTCTGGCTTTAGAGTCAAGGACACAAGAAAAGGGTCATGGAATTTATCTCCAAGACCAAGGAAAGCTGCTGAGGGCAGGCATGTGTCAGGGGTATCCCTGCATGGGGGCCCAGAGAGGCCATTCTGTGAAGCCGTGAAGGTGAAGCCTGGATTGTATTTGAGACATCAAAATGTCAGAGATGCCAAAGTTGTGGGATACCTGCCAAGGAGAGCTACAGACAAGGTGTGAAACCAGCCCAGGAGAAAGAAGTATGGTCCAGTTAACAAATCTGGGAAAATTTAGAGATCTGAAGAGCCACTTGGCATTAGACATGGAGATGCAGGGTTTGGAGTTTGCCCTGCTGGTTTTATGTCCTGTATTTCTTCACTATGCCCTTTCCCCCCACTTTTTGAATGGTAATGTATATTCTGTGCCATTGTATGTTGGAAGTATGTGATCTGCTTTTGATTTTGCAGAGGATTATATTTAAGTGATTGCCATTAGTCTCTGAGACTTTGAAATTTGAACTTTTCAACAGTGTTGAGACTATGATAGACTATGGGGACTTTTGAAATTGGGCTGGATGTATTTTTGCCTTATGATATAGCTACAAGCCTATGGGGGTCAGGGAGTGGAATATGCTGGTTTCAATAAGAAAGGCCTTCATAGGCTCATATATTTGAGTGATTAGTCACCAGGGAATGGAACTGTTGAAAGGCTTATAAGGATTAAGAGGTGTGACCTTGTTGGAGAAGGTGTGTCACTGGGGATGGGTTTGATTTTTCAAAAGCCTATGCTTGGCCTAGTCTCTCTCTTCCTGCTGCCTGCAGATTGGGATGTAGTGCTCTCAGTTACTTCTCCACCACCAGGTCTTCCTGCATGCTGCCATGCTTCCCAGTGATAACAGATAAACCTCTAAAACTGCAAGTAAGCTCTCAATTAAATGCTTTCTTTTATGAGTTACCTTGATCATGGTGTCTCTTTTCAATAATAGAACAATGACCAAGACACTTACCCAGACACCAATTGTTCTCAAAGGAGGTAACACATTCTGTCCTGCAGGGGAAACTCCTTGTGCTCAGGAAGTAAACAACTCAAAAGCTTCAGAAAATCCCTGAAACTGACAAGATCCATTAAATTCCTCACTTCTCGATTGTGTATAAGCCATAAGGACTTCTGAGAGACACTTTCAGGCCAACTGAGTCATGTGGAAAAGGCAAAAATGAGCTGAGCTGCCTGCACTCTGAGCATCTGAGGTTCCTAGAAAGATACTTTCAAACCTGTGGAGCTGTCTCTGAGTTGTGCAGTCCTGGTTTGTCAGCTGTCACGCATGCCGTGGGATTTGGTGATGCAGCTGTCTTTGTGTTATTTCTGCTTTGTAAGAAACCTCAATAAAACTCATGCATTCACCAAGTTGGGCTGTGGTGGTATCGTTACTTTGCTCTGTTACTTGTTTTCTATCTGGGGAGTAGACAATTGTTCATGTGTTACCAGGAGGAGTGTCACACAAAAACATTCCAGTATCCTGAGCTCTACTGTAGGCAGCACAGATGACTTGGAACTCCATTTCTTTCAACGTGTGTGCTTGCCATACTTCAGCTTTCTCCTAAGATTTTTTTTTTTATAAACCAGTATAAGGGTTAATATAAAAAGACAATAGTCTTAATATATTTAGTTTAGATATAATTATCTAAATAAATTTAAGATATATTTATCTTTAGATATTTAGATATTTCTCCCAAATATAGTAGGTCTTATAAATTATCACTAGAGAAAGTTTGTTAACTATTCATGCATCATGTGCAGGTGGAATCATTGTGTTTGTGCTGAGTTATAAATATATACAAGAATAGAGTGCATGGATTCTGAAAAGAGTGACAGAAATCATCTTCTTCCTCTGAACTTTTCCAGGAATTACAGCTGACCTACATATCCAGAAAAGCTTCTCCAGAACCCTCTGTAAAGGAGTTTAGGGATATATAGCTGCAGTTGTTAACCTGGGAGAGAACATCCTGTCAAGGAGTTAAGGGTGCATCAGATCATGGGGCTCCTAATCTGAAAGCTCTGATGTGAGACTGACAGGTATTTGTGATGGACAGCAGAGAAGTTAGCAATCATTCAGCCATCTTCAAAGCTATGTCTTGTTTTTGTTTTTTTCTGAAAGCACTCTATAGGGGTTGCTTCTAACATCAGGATGAAACTTTTAATGGGAAATGAAAAATGTGTACAAATAATTATTTTTCTATGCACAATATTTCAAAAGACAATGGCATGAGGGCATGTTACTTTTTGAATTGATTTATTTGTTTTTTGGAGCTATTAATCTCTTTTTCCTTATGTTCTAGTATGGGGATTTGAAGTGTAATTAGAAAGTATCACTAAGTGAATATCCATCCTATGTTGCTATCTTTCAGAGGATGTAGGTGACAGTCTGTATTTTGATTCATTTATCATCAGTGTTATTTATGGAATTGTTCTGCACTTGGTAAGGTTCGGTGAAGCTGTTTCTGAATGGGGAGTGATGAGTGAGGGCTTACAGAGCACCACACTAGCTGAGAAGCTATACCTCAAATAGTCCACTATGGAAATGCATGAAGCTTACACCTGGGCTCTTCCAAAGATTGTGATTTGGCCAAAGCACTTCTCTGTAATCAGAACCAGGTCAATAGACAGATTTTTCCTGAAATCCTCCACAAAGGCATGAGCGTCATCTTGCAAAGTGTCCATTCAGACACATAACCAAGGACCTCTCTCACTCCGGCATATTATTAGAAGTGAAGATGGATGTGTATGCTTTGTGGAGAATTATTGCTGCCTGATAAAGAAGCATCTCTGCTGCCCTGCTCATGAATCACAGTCATGAGAATCCACTTATATCATTGCAGACATTTGTGGTTGCTATGGATTCTTTATGACAACAATGTTCTCTTTAATCTGCTCCTATTTATTTTGGAATAATACATACAAAAATTAGTTTCATTGAGACACTTTAGGAACACATTCCATTATCCTCTGTTCTTATTCTCCTCACCTCTATCCTTTCTGATCCGCCCCCATCGTGATGTCTGTTGTCTTCTTCCACCCAAATGGACTGTCACACACATACAGATTTCTTTGTACATTGTCCATAGAAAAGACGATTGAAGAAGATAGGACCGAGGTACCCACAAGATAACACTACAGATATTTTCAAATAAGTGTT